TGAGTGCTTGGTCACAAGACTCGACAGTTAAAATACTGCCGTAACACTAACATCGACATTCGGGTCACAATTTCCAATTTTCGTTCGTCTCACTGCTATATTCAGCACAATCTGACACTGCTACTTTGAAGTCGGAGCAAAGTTTTGCTGATATCTCCAAAACACAAAATTTAAATAGAAAGTGATTGTTTTTGATGATGATGGTGTGCAGACCAACCTCACAAGTAGCCTACTGTACTAGTAAGTCTTTTTTTTTTTAAGTTAGTTTCCTGTTTGTGTAGATTGTTTACTAGTAATCAAGGAGTTATAACAGACTGTTATAACTCCTTGCTAGTAATACTAGTAACAATACATGTGTGTGAGCATTTAGCTTAATGCTTATGGGACATGTTTCTCCAGAAACGAAATGTGCTATTTAGCACTGGATTGTAAATGAAGAATTTGTACTCCATTTTTTCTTGCTTTTTATTACAGTACATGTACATTACTAATTTCCATGCCCACATCTCTTTCCAGAAAGCCATTGACATATTGATCACCAAGGCTACTTAGTTTGCAGTCAGTGTGCAAACTAGTCAAAAGGTGTCGCCTATCAAGATAATGGAATCAATTATAAAATGTATTCAACTGATACATCTGTTGGCATTTAATTTTGATAATCAAACCAAAACATATATTTGTTGAATAATCTAAAGCATCATCATAGTGCATTATTTCTTGAAAGTCACGTGGCTCTGACAACTGTCAACTTCTGCCATCCTTTCGGGAGGTCAGTACTCGTACTGTTTGGATGTAGAGGAATTAGCACAGCTGGTCTAAATGTCCACGAGCTTACAGGTAAGTCAAATACTAATTGGTTGATGTGATACCGATCACTGTTATGCTGATCTACCCCTGCGAGTAAAAAAATTCCTGATAAATCCACTTTTTTTAGAGGTAGACCTACATGTATTTGTTTTGAAAGGGCTCCGGCTCCTCAGTCCTGTGCATCACCAGTATGATCCTAATTTCCATTCAAGTTTTGTCTACGTCAATGTGGAATGTTATTGACATCAGTAAACCTTTATAAGAATGACACAGAGTTTTGCAAAGTTCTGCCTTTTTTATGAGTGCTTGGTCACAAGACTCGACAGTTAAAATACTGCCGTAACACTAACAGCGACAGTCGGGTCACAATTACCAGTTTTCGTTCATCTCACTGCTTTATTCAGCTTAATCTGACACTGCTTCTTTGAAGTCGGAGCAAAGTTTTGCTGATATTTACAAAACACAAAGTATAAGTAGACATGTATTGTTTCTGATAATGATGATGGTGTATTAACCACTCTCATGAGTAAGTCTTTAAAAAGTTGGAGTTTCCTAATTGTGTAGATTGTGTACGGAATGCTAGTAACATTGTACATGTCTGTGAGCATTTAACTTTATGGTTATTTGACATTTCTCCACAGAAACCAAATGTACTGTTAAGCACTAAATTGTAAATGAAGAATTTGTTCTCCATTTTTTCTTTCTTTTTATTACAGTACATTGCTAATTTCCATGCCCACATCTCTTTCCAGAAAGCCATTGACATAGTCACCAAGGCTGTAGAAGAAGACGAGAAAAAGAATTATGAGGAAGCCTTGAGGCTGTATACGCATGGTGTGGAGTCCTTTCTCCATGCAATTAAATGTATGCAGATTGAAATTTTGTTTTTTTAATCAAGTTTCTTTGTAAAATTGCAGCATATTAAAACATTAAAATTAAGATGTGTTGACTCTCTGGTGCTATTTATACAAATTACTGTTTGGTTAAATTTAAAAGCTTTCACTGATATGTTCATTTACTAATTTAAAGGGTTGAAAATTTTCCATACTAACAATCTTGGGTAGTTCCAGTAATACTAGGAGGTGATTTATTCTGATTTCAGATGAGGCAGATAGTGACAAAGCCAAGGAAAGTATCAGAGCTAAGTGTATTTTATATTTGGACAGAGCAGAGAAATTAAAACAGCATGTCAGTGGCAAGAAGCAGAAAGCAGTAAAGGATGGCAGTAGTGGTGGAAATAAAAAGTAATGAAAATCCATTAATTTATGATTTTTAGAATATTTGTTTGTTTTATTTTACATTTATTATTGTTTTTATTTTTGTTTGTTTTATTTATTTTAAATGGAAAACTATTTTTCAGTTTTTTTTTTTTTTTCAAATATTTTTCTTTTATGTTACACTTTGAAACATAATAAAAAAGAAAAATTACTTGTTATAAAATGTTATCAAAAAGCATATTGATACAGAATTGCTTTGATATATAAAACTTGCAATTTGATTAAGGATTAAGAAAAAAGACCCCCCAAAAATAAGAGATTAGACCTAAGAGGTGAAAGATTCAATTTATCTCCATCTTTAAGTTTATATTTAATCTTCTACTGTAACCATTTTAAAATCCTTGTGAAACTAAAAAAGTGAAAGGTCACTTACGTAAATAAATCAGGTTTTCTGTAAACAAATATTCTTTATTATATTATACATTAAAACCAATGCTCTGCTGCAGGAAAGGAGACAATGACAGCAGTGACAGTGATTCAGAAGGAAATGCCGAAAAGAAAAAGTTTCAGACACAGCTGGAAGGGGCCATTGTGATGGAGAAACCTAACATTAAGTGGGACGACGTAGCAGGTCTGGATGGAGCCAAAGAGGCTTTAAAAGAGGCAGTCATTCTGCCCATTGAAGGTACATAAGTGAAGCGTGGATTCCCAGTAATACATATAAACCACTTCTACTAGTTTCTTAATACGACTCAAATAAATTCAACCTGCCGAAGGATAAACTGAATAAATCACTTGATCAGCCATAAAAGAGCTTTAGGCTGCTCCTTTCTTTAAAATTTAACCTACTTTCGTGACCTACTTTTCTGCCCCATTGATATACAGCATAGAATGCTAGCAGAAAAATTTATTCAAATATCATTTTTCGGGTAAAATTAAACAATCTCTTTTTGTAATTCTCTGAGTTATACTACTTGAAACTATATGCTGGATATTGGTTGGCTTTTGTGGCAAAAAATTGACTTCATATGCATCTTTAAGTTTCCTCATCGTTTCACAGGTACAAGTAGGACATTATAAGATATATTAAGTGATTTTGGACAAATTCCTTGATTAGTTGACAGAAAGTACAAAAGCATTACTGTAATAGCTCTGTATACCAAATGACTGAAATAATGATCAAATACAATTTGAGCTTTTAACTCATTATTTATGCAGGCATGAATTGAGAGGCTAGTTTGCTGTCAGCAATTTCGTGATTTCTTAAAATTACAACAGAAATAGTTATTAGTTGAAAATGCCATTTAATTGACATTTGTACTTTGATTAATACACAAAATACAAAATCAAAATACATACAGTTAAATATTATCATATGAATGATACTCATGTATGGTAAAATATTTACAAGTTTAAGATATAATTTTAAGTTTCAGCAAAGATGGAGGGAAAAAAAGGGTCTATTTATTTCCAAAATGCTGAAAGATTCTTTATTTCTTATTGCATAGAAGTTTTTTTTAGTTGTTGGGGAATAAAGAATATAATAATTATATTATGTTACAGTAATTTTCATTAAAATTGCATAGTGAATCATAATGATCCACAATTAGTCATGTTTTTGAATATTCTATCGTAGGTAAAAGACAGCCACAGAGGGGTATATTATTGTATGGGGTGAGTCAAGTTACAGTATCTATAATTTCAAGTCTCAGTTCTTATTACTTTTAATTTTAGACATTAGTTAATATTTGAGTAAGGCTTGTGGAAAGTTTGAGTATAGATATCGGTCACACAAAAAGATGCAAGAAATAAGGTCATGATTGGGAAATTAATGAGAAAATAATAAGGTATGTAATTGACAATCATAATTATTATTGTTGTTGTTGTTGTTATTTACAGCCCCCAGGGACAGGGAAGTCTTACCTAGCCAAAGCAGTAGCCACAGAAGCCAATAACTCCACCTTTTTCTCAGTGTCTTCATTTGATTTGGTCTCAAAGTGGCTCGGAGAAAGTGAAAAGTAAGATGGTTGATTTCTCTTTAATTTCTATATTTGCATTCTTATAAAAAAAGTCTGTATAAATGATGCATGAAAAATTTCAGAACAGACTGTTAGACAAAATTGAGCGTTGTGATGGAGTAGAATCCTTTAACATAATTTCCTTGAAAGCACACTCCTTTATGGTTCATTATGTATAATAATGATGGAATCTCTTTCAGATTAGTAAAGAATCTATTTGAGATGGCAAGAGAACACAAGCCGAGCATTATTTTCATAGATGATTTTGACTCCCTCTGCTCGTCCAGGAGTGATAACGAGTCTGAGTTGGCCAGGAGAATTAAGACAGAGTTTCTTGCACAAATGCAGGGTGGGTGATAAGTACAGTAGGCAGAATCTCCCAAGAGACAGTGTGGTTATTTTAAAAATAGGGTAATTAATGGTATACTTAGACAATCTACCTAGAGAGTAAGGGTAGTAGATTTGTTACAGATTCTTTGGTTTGCCCAAGAAGATTCTAAAGGACCATTTGAAGGTTTTGCTAAATGTCATCACATTGATCACAATTATATTTTAAGAAACTTTTAAGATTTTATTGCAAAAGAATCATTTCACCTACTAGTCATCTTCAATTTTTATAGTAGGCTTAGTTATGCATAGATAGGCCTTGCACGTAGCTCACGAAAGTTTCCTTGTTCAGCAATTCAAATTTTCCATTGGAGGAATGCACACAGTTTACTAACAGATGAGATCCGTTTCTGTCAGTTATTGAGAATGAAAATGTGAAAATTTACCTTAACATTTCAGGTGTTGGAACTGATAATGATGGAATTTTGGTGTTAGTAGCCACAAATATTCCTTGGGTTCTTGACTCTGCTATAAGGAGAAGGTAGGCAGTTACACACACACAAACACACACACATGCACACACACACACACACACACACACGCATGCATGTGCGTGCACACACAGGCACATGCACTTGTAAACCAAACAACATCACTGCAAGTTAAGTTAAATAACTGCTTATTGAACTGCTTTTTGCCAGCTTTGAGAAAAGAATCTACATCCCACTCCCAGAAGCCCCTGCTCGAGCCACCATGTTTCAGTTGCATCTTAGAAACACCCCAAACTTTCTCACCCAAGGGGACTTCAGAGTACTAGGACTGAAGACTGAGGGGTAAGCTGTTAATCAGTGTGAACTGTGTGAGGCCATTCAAGTCATGCGAAACTAGGGAAATTTGAGCACTATAAAATTATATACTGATTATTATTATTTCACTGTACATATATATAAGGCCTTTTTACAATAATTTGATAATCATTCATTTCTATAATTGCACATTACATTATATATCATCTTTGTCCATTTCTAAGAATGACTTTTTGTGTACAGACACAGATGTGTCTGTATATATAGCCATCATCTGTGTCGTCGCCATCACTGTCCCCGTGCACTTTTACCAATAACACGATAGAGGAAAAATGTTTTACCTTTTGTCTTCAAACTTATGGAACTGATGAATATTAATAAAATACAGGTCAAGTTCGAAAAACAGCTTGATCAGGCCATTTTTAGAAAAGTTGTGCAGTTTTTTCCCTTTTTGTAGCATATATGCAACACTGATAACACATTTCAAAGAACACATTCCAAGGAAAACCAATAGGCCCGTTGTCTTAAAACTCACAGAAGTGATCAATCTTACTAAAATACAGGGCGAGGTTTGAAAACCAGCTTGATCTTATCATTTTTACAAAAGTTATGCAGTTTTTCCCCTTTTTTCTGCATAAAATGCAACACATACATGTAATAACCATTAAAGGAAAAAGAATGTCACTCTTCTTAAGCTTACAGGAAAGAAACACCACGGGACTAAAATGCTGCCTGAGTTGGAAAAGCAATCTCATTGGCTTCAAACACAGGACTAAGAAGCAACCTGAGTGGAAAAAGCAGTCTTATTGGCTTTTTTTTTTTTTTTTTAATCTTTCACATATAGGCATTTTGAATGTGAGACTTAGAACTCCCATGGGTATGAAGCCGAGTGGTAATCAAATTTTCTAACAGTTTATATTCCAAGCTGTCCTTCCATATCCAATCAATACATTTTTGAAAATCCACAGAAAGACAATAAAAACTTTCCCTTTGTTTTACTTGTCATTGTATGTAATATGAATATATTGTCTATAGTGGTATAAGTTTTCCTAAAGCTTGCTTGAGACTAATTTATAATACTTTCTGATTCTGCCCATTTATTCAGTATTTTACATAAGATTTTAGCAAACATTTTATTCACAACAGTGTTATTCCTCTGTAATTATTGTGGTCGTCTCTGTCTCCAGACTTGAACAGTGGTACAATGACTCCCAAAGACCATTGGGTTGAAAAATGACCAGTTTCAAAATTTTAATTAAACAAATCAACTAATAAAGTGTATTATTGTAATAATTAATGTACATCAGTGCAGTATTTATAGAACTCAAGAGGAATACCATCAGAGCCCGCAGCTTTTCCAATCTTCATATCATTTACACTTATCTGCACTTTGTTTAAAGTTATTTTCTTATTTATATCAAGATCTTCCTGGTCTTTGATTTGATGAATTTTCATACTCTTTTATTACCCTCTACCAGGGCGACTGATAGAGTTTTTACAGATATTCACAGATATGTCTCTAGATAGATAGATGGTCATTTTGGTTCTACTGTAAGTGAGTTTTTGAAAGATTTTAATGATCTACGGACTTTGCTTTTTGCATCATAACAAACCCTATCAAACCATGTGTTTTCAGTTTTTTTGGTAGCAGTAGTATCTCTAAACTGTGGAGTTCATCAGTTTGCACTCATATCAGTCATGCGTATATGGACCTCATCTTCTTTGTCTTGTTGTTGCACAAAATCGACAAACACATTTTTCAAAGTAACCGCAACCGCCATTTTCTTTCTCTCTTATTACTGGGCATGCGTCCAGGTGTCAGAATCTCCTCCGAGCGCAACTGAGATTTAATTACAACTTTGGAAGTAACTCTCTCGCTCTGCTAGTTAATTACGC